GGCTGGGGGTGGAACACGGGGAACTGGTTAGGAAAAGTATGAGAAAGGAGAGTTCTAGCAAAATACCGTATGGGGCAGAGAAGCATTCCAAATATCAGAAAACCCAGTTCAAGACCTGATTCTACATTTACAAGCCCCCCAGGACCGAAGCTGCTTGCTCACAGAAAGCACCCAGCGTCATCCAGAAATGCTAACATTTGTTGACCACTTACCTGCGCCAGTGTTATGGTTTGGATACAAGGTGTCCCCCAGAGCTCACATATGAGACAATACGGGAATGTTCAGAGGTGAAATGGTCAGAAGGCACTCAGAACCAGAGACTAACACCACCAGGTCTGTTCTAAGTGYTCCACCTGCATTAATTCTTTTCTTCCCCACAGCAAGCMCACAGGCAGGTCCTATCATTACCCCACTGTAATAACTGGAACCTCATCAGTGGATTAATCCATCTGGTGGATCAATAGTTTGAAAGGGTTATGGTGCTGGGTGGTAACAGTAGGCAGGTAGGGTGTGGCTGGAAGAAACAGGTCACTGGAGCATATCTTTGGGGGTTACATCTTGTGCCTGGTGGCTTATTCTCTCTGCTCCTAGGTTGCCATCAACTGAAAWGCACTCCTTGACCACAGCCTTCACCACGATGTTCTGCCTCACCTTACACCCAGAGCAACGGAGATGACCGACCGTGGACTGAATCTCGGAAACCTTGAGCCCAAAATAAACTTTTCCTCCTCTGATTTGTTCTTGTTGGGTATTTTGGTCACAGCRGTGAAAAGCTGACTAATACAGCCAGGTCTGTTCTCAGGGCTCCACCTGCATTCATTCTTTTCTTCCCCACAGCAAGCCCACAGGCAGGTCCTATCATTACCCCATTTTACACATGAGGAAACTGAGGGGCAGAGAGATTAACTGACATGCCCACGGTCACAAAGCTAATAAACCAAAAGGCAGTTTGGCTGCAGCCCCTCTGGTGGGGGTGCCAGACGTCAGTGGTGGGGAGTACGTAGCAGAGAAAATGGCTCTCCTCAAGGTCATGAAGGGGCCAAGGTCCTAGACGCCCCTCAGGGGCATGCACCCAGTGACCTAAGGACCCCCAACTAGGCTCCTCCTTCTGGAGGTCATCACCTCCCAACAGTGCCACCCTTGAGACCAAGCCCTTAACACAGGGGTCTTCAAGGGACACTATCCAAATCATAGGATGAGTCAACAGCCTCATGGCTTAGACGTGTGCCTGTGCCATTCGGAGTGGACAGATGTCAGCCAGGGCTCTTTGGACCATGACCAAGAGTAAAAAGAACTAGAGTCTTACCCACCCGGCAAGGACTCCCCTCTGCAGGAAAGGGCCTGGTCTCTGACACCCCTGGGTGACTCGCAAGCTCAGGCGCCATCTTCTGGCCAAGGCAAGCACTGCACTCCACAACCTCAAGGGCACTCAGCACCAGAGGCTATGCCCAACCCAGTCCGGAAGCCAGGTCACTTCTGAGGCAGCAGAAATGAGCCAATCTCCTAGGGAAACAGAAGTGTTGGGGCTYATCCTGTTGCCTGTTCCTGCCCCTCACTTAGCCAAGTGGTCCCAGCTTACTCTCTGTGTAAGGATAGTGCCCTTTGCTTGTCCTCTGCTCTCCACTACTGGTGCCAGCTGATGTCCAGAGGTGTGGACTGATCTGGAACCAAGTATAACTGTGGAGTCCGAGGTCCAGAAGTGCTGGAACCTCCATTTCATCCCTCTCCTTCATGGGGGGAGAGGGGGCACACCTCAGGGTCAGCTCCATCTAACTGGAACAGGAACTGGTCTGAGGACACAAATGACCCTCTGTGAATGAGAAGAGTCCCCAGAGGCACAAAGACTGACAGTCAGTCAGAGGGCACCATCCTTGAGCTTCTATCTAGCCACSCACCCCTGCCTGCAGTCTGAGATTCAGGAGCACTTGAGCAGCATTGTAACTTGGGAACCTTAGGACCTATCCAAGGACGGGACCCAGAGGGATAGCAATGCATGACAGACAACCRGAAACCAGAGCTGGAGCCCAGCTTCCATGGAAGGGCCAGTGGCCAGCATGGCACCTGGGGGTGAGAGCTGCTCTTGGGAAGTGTCGTGGGAGGGGCTGGAGGAGGGGGGAAATGCGAAGTGAGTGACTTGCCCCCCCCTCACACCCCCGCCCTCACCTACCCTGCTTCCCACACAGCCCTTTGCCCCTCCCTCCACCCACAGACTAGAAAGTGTGTCACCAGGGAACAAATGCCATCTTCCCAGGAGGGAGTGGGGGAGACTGTGATCCTGCGCCTGTGGGGGCTGTGGTAAGACACCAGAGGTTTCTGAGCTTCCCAAAAACAAGGGACGCCCCCTCAGAACTGTGACCTCGACAGCCTCCCTTTCTCAGAAGGTTCCAGATAAATGGGGGCAAGAGCCACATGGCCACCTGGCTCAGGACTACTTGTCTAGGGAAGGCTGGAAAAGAGGTCCTCCAGATGCAGGAGATGACTTCCAACCCCAAACATCCTCCAGCCAGCGGGGTGGGCCCACAGTAACCCTGGCACCCGGAACTTTTCATCTCACTCTGCCCCGGCTGTGGCCCCACCCCTCCCCAGAGGCTTCCAGGGGTTAATCTTCTGCTGCCTTCCCCTCTTTCATGTCCACCCCCACCGTGCCACATGCCAGTGATGATCCACTTCACACTGTTATTACAGTGACTTGTTTAGTTTTAATTTGGGGGTGGATCTCATGCTGTTGGAAGCTGGAGGCCAACAGTCTTCGTGAGAAGCAAAGGTGCTCTCAGACTGGCACCAGACTCTGCCTGGGGACCTCTGCAGCCTAACCCTGATCCTCCTAGCTTGCAGCCTGAGCCCCCTGACCCCAGTTCTAATTCTATTTGCCTTTCATTCGATCTCTCTCCCTTCAGAGAAAATGTTCCTCAGTGCGGAGGAGGTTTCCAAGCTCATCCTAGGCATGGTTCGAGCTGCTACAGAGTCAGCTAATGAGGCCTCCCTCCAGGTCACCATTGAGGAGTGCAGCATCTTGGACTGACACCGAGCAGCTGGTGCCTGCTCCACAATAATAGGTGCCAGCCCCTGATAGTCAGGGCCAGTTCCCTGCAGATCAGTAAAAATGGAACAACTGGTCTTCMTCCAACCTCTGCCCCTATTCTCCGCTCTGCCTTGAGTAGCCTGAGGAAGTTGTCATTCATCCATTGACTCATTAAACAAACACTGGTACCTGCTTTAGACTGCATCGCTCTGGTGCTACAGATTCAGGATAAAAGAACCATTAAGGTCTTCATCCCCAAAGATTTTCTGACATCTGATGGAAACACCTAGGTTCAAGTACCCAAGCCTCAGCTGGCATGAGTTAGTTGGGGGGAGGCGAAGTTCTGTGGAGTCTAATGTGACTCGTGTAAGGAAAAGACTTCACAGAAGAGCTGCAGTTTGGCCAGGAAACCAGCTCCTAGCACCTGGCCTGGTGCTAGATGGATGGACAGAGTGCTAATGTCCTGGAATCACTCAACAGATACAGAGAACGGAGTAAAGAGACGTTCCAARCAGAGGACAGACCAAAACACAGGCACCACGGGCTCAGGGTGCACAAAGTGTGACAAGCAGCACAGTGACCAGTGCAGGGGAATAGCCTCAATTACAGCAGGACCCAACACTAGCTGAGCACTGCGGCATGCTGGGTGCTCTACACAGCCCCCCCATTCCTGTCGCTCTAGTCCTCACTGCTACCCGAGAGGGTGCGCGATACAGTGATCCYCATTTTTACAGATAAGGAGAGTGAGGTGCCAACAGGGTATAATTTGGGCTAGGTCCACAGCCCTGGCTCCAGAGCACAAACGCCATCCTCCACCGCCCTCTGCCCCACCGAGTTACAGTCATGGAACAGGGAGGAGGCAGAGACTGGATAGGCTGCACCTTGAGAGCCCTGCTAAGCATTTTAAGGGCAACTGGGAAGCATCAAAGGTCACAAACTAATCTCAGGAAAGGCATCTGCTGCTAAAGGCTCAACTTCAAGGTGATTTTGTTCAGAGAACTCTAGAAGACCTAGAATTCTCTAAGAGAATTTCAGATAACAGGTAAGGGCAAAGGGATTTCAGTAAAGATCTCCGAGGCACCCTCAAATTATAGCTGGACCTGACCCACTGCTCAGCCACCTGCAGATGGCTGCTCATCCCCTCCCTGTCCCCAGAGGTAGTGACCAGAGCAAGTCAGTGAGGGTCCATGCAACTGTGCCCAGTTCAGCACAAAATAACACCCTGTAGTTTATGGCATGAGTGGGAAGGAATGCTCAGGGCAACCAGGGCTGCTGTACAGAGGGACCTTAGCTCCGTTCTCTGTCACTCCAGGGCCCCAAATGAAGATGAGGAGCTGAGATTGGAGAAGGCAGGCTCTAGCACTTATAGGGATGTTCTTCCTACAGTCAGAAATGACTGACAATAGGACAGGCCACCATGGGTGGCACCTAAGACAGGAAGCTTCCTACCATGGGGGGTTAATYGAGCAGAGGCTGAATGAGTGCCTACCAGGGATATTCCAGAGAAACCAAAACATGGAGCTCATGGACAGCTTATGGATGGCACCATATAAGCAGCGTGCCAGAATCACCAACAGTGCCCTTGACCTTACTACCCAAGGCYGCAGCCTTCATTGGCAAAATGGAATTAGTAACAGTACCCATTGCAGGTTTGCCATGAGGATCAAATGAGATGAGGCATGGACACAGCACCGTTGTGGGAATGTCATAAACCCTCAGATGTTGATAGAAATTATTAGGCTGGACCGTGACTCATTAGGTTGTATCCAAGACAATACGTATATTTCATACTTCAACTAACTTTTTTTTACTGAGGTTCCTTCCAACCTCTCTGATCTCAGCATGAAAGTGTCTWTGACATTTGATTTTGCATTAGTGGTGGGACCCCAGTGCCCTGGGCCCAGGCGGCAAGAACTGTGCCAAGACCTTTTCAAAAGCATACTGTCCTGGAGCCAGCCCTCCTGGCAGGGGTGAGTACCTCCTTGCCCAGGTCCTCCCGGATGACCTGGCGGACCTCCTGCATGCTGCTCTGCGGGGCCTGGCTGTGCAGCACCTTCAGCGTGCTGGTGTACTCCTCGGGCAGCAGGTAGTCCAGAGCCCCCAGGTGCTGGCCCACCTTGATGAAGGTGCCCCGGTTGGCACAGCAGAGATCACAGAGACGCCTGGCAGAGCGGAGGTGCACCTGCAGGGAGACAGACGCAGGGGACAGAGAGGCATGAGTGCAGGCTGTTCTAAACATCATTCCCCTCCCCTGCCCACTGTGCCTGAACACCTTCCCTCAGTCCCAGTGCCTAAGGTGCGGCCCGTGCACACACCTTCAAGGTCCTCCTTCAGCCTCCTGGTACCCWCAGAGTCCATTCCAATCTCATACTAGGGCCCGCCTTTGCACATGGCCTTAAGCTGCCAATCTGCTCTCCATCAAAACTGGCCTGGTCTGAGTCACACTCCCTAGAAATCAGTGTTCAAGGCTTTCTGGGGCTTTTCTGTTTGGCTTTGGGGAGGCGAGATGCTGAGATGGAACCCAGGGCCTCAGACATGCTAGGTGAGCTCTCCTCCACTGAACCATATCCTCGTTCAAGGCTAGTCTACTAATGGCTCACTCTAGGGTGTGCCAAGTTCATGTATTTGCCACCTAGCCCTCAGACACACTAATAATACTTCATGTTTGTTTGGGTCTCTACAGTGGATGGTCAAATACATCCTATCTCTTAAGACAGCTTTGGAAGGCAGTGTTGGTATCTTTTAAGATGAGAAACTCAATTGCCTTATTTATAAAATGAGAATAAATGTCAAAGGAAAGACTATAACACACTCCAAATCTGGAGCTCGTTTAATGTAGCGAACTTTGGCAGGGACTCCTCTTTCCTGGGGGAATGACAGTGTTGGGGGCATGAGGCATATGACATAGGCTRTAGGACACACTGTCCAGGACGCAGGGCCCTAGCTTACATCCTGATTCTCATCTACCCCAGGCCRTGCATCCCAGTCATCACTCCAGACCAGCTGAGGGTTTGGGAACCATGAGGGTCCTGCATTGCAGAATCACAGCCTCTGGGCAGGATGGGGCCCTGGGTGCACACAGAAGAYAAGGGATCCCAGCATCCCAGGGGGACACGGTACCCTGCTTGCACCAATAAAGTCAAGAGAGCATCAACATAGAGCATGAACTTACACTCTCAGAAGGCACTAAAACCAGACTTAAATAACAACTGATAACAAAGATGGAGAAAATGTTCAAAAGTCCTATGTAATTAGTTGCCAAGTGAACCACACAGGAAACGACTACTTTAGAAACTGAGAACACTAAGCCCTGAGCACCCTCATCCCTGCAGCGGGGACACCCAGCCCACCCACCCCACAGCAGACTCCAGGCTTCAGCAGCCATCCTTAGGCCCTCAGGGGCTGGTCTACTTCTAGCTCTGCTGGACACCGCTGCATCCTGCTCCAACCCATTATGGGCCAACCCTGAGTACACACAGCTTGGTCCCTCTGGGCACAGCCCTCCTGCGTGATGAGGACACGCAGTTCAAGCTGCACCAGGGAGAGTCCCTTTTTCTTGGCAGAAGGAAGAGAGGAAATTAACTCTAATTGAGAGAATAAGAGCATGAGCATCCCTAGAAGAGTTGAAGGGTCGAGGGACACTGTCTTAAGAACTGGAGACTGGGGACAAAGCCAGTGTCAGACGGCAGAAGGTCATGTGGAGCTGGATAGAGTCGGGGCCATGGCAGGCCAAAGCCACACTCAAGCTGTAGTAGTAAGGAGATGACAAAGGCCATGGTCAACCCGCAGCCAGCCATCACCAGGCAGCTAGTACAAAGGTTCAAGCCTCAGTGGACAACTTTCTGCAGCTGAAATAGTTGGCCTCTGACTTTAACCCAGCAGAGGAGAAAATGCACAACCAATGGCAGAACAGGAAGAGCCAGAAAGGCGGGCACACCTCTCCATCCAGAGCCACCAGAGCCAGGTCCTCCAGCCGCTCCCCAGCAACACTGCCCAGCRTGCCACTCACCCCCAGAGGCACACTAAACCCCATAGCTAGCTRTTCTGGGGGTCAGCTGGGCAGTTAGCACACCCAAAGGGAACAGAGGCTAGGAAGGGGGTGAGGTCACATCTAGCTCTCCTCCCCTCCCAGGAAAGACATCCACTGCCACATACTCAGGGAGACTTACTGCAGGTCCAGACCCTGCCCTCAGCTCTCTGGGGACACCCAGAGGGCCACTCACACAACAGAGAACACCACAAAGCAGCAGGTATTAGAGAGAGTTCAGGACAAGCTGGGAAATCACAGATGAAAGAAACAAAGGGGCTATGAGCAGACACTCAGGTTCACGGGAAGGGGTGACATGGGGCGAGGCAGGTGCTGGTTATGAATGGACAGATGCTTCTTGACTTCGGATGGGGTCTGATCAACCAATGAGAAGTCAAAGATGCATTTGATGCCCCTGACTATGGAACATCACAGCTTAGCCACAGGGCATCATAGAGCAGGRTGGTGACCCTGAGATCTCCTAGCTGACGGGGTGATGCAGCTCACTGCCACCACCAGAATCCAGAGGGAGTATCATGACATCACCTCTAGTCCAGGGAGGTCAAAATTCCAAGTATGGTTTCCACTGAAGACATATCGCTTTTGTATGATCATCGAGTCAGAGAATCATTGACTCCCAAGCACGGATCCTGCCTGTCCTGCCTCTTGGCTCTGAATCTACTCTTCTTTGCTGAGATACTGAAGCTGAACCCTGGGTCATTTTTCCTTTGTCAGATGACTTGATGATATCAGCCTGTGTCATTCAGGGATCCTGGGGACACTGTGAGACCATAGCAGGCACAGAGGTCCCCTTACTGGTTCCAGTGTGCTGCTCCAGCAGAGACAGGCATCCAGCAGGGACAGCGCCCACTCCAGGGCCTCAGATTCGCTGCAGCCCACTCCTCCACTACCCATGGTCCACTTCCATGGAACTCAGGCCCACCCTCCATTGAGTGTCCTGGCCACCCCTACAGATGAGCTCAGCCCACCCCCTCCCATTAGTCTCTCTGCCACCCAGTGGGCTACTGCCATGGGCCCACTCTGGCTCAGGCCTGCACCACAGCCCACCGCTAGCGTCCCAGAGCAGCCCTTCCTGCCCCATGGGCCAGCTCCCAGCCTCAAGGGTGGAAGGAGCTCTRCTGAGCCCTTGGTTCATACAGGCTCACAGTCCCCTGGCCCCAGAAGGAGCAGCTTTGGGTGCCTGCCACGTCTGCACCGGCAGAGTCTCCTTCTACCCCTTGCAGGAGCTGACCACCTTTTAGTAGTTAATAATTCTTTATTTTCAACTTTTCCTATTCAAATTATGGTATGGCTGGGCCCTGGCTGATACAGAGTTGGCCTCTGAAAATGAATTGAATAGATGAAGCTGAAAAGGAAAAACACGTTATCTAGAACAACAGACACAAAGGCACAATCGTGCATGTGTGTGCTGCTGTGTGGGTGCGTGTGCAGAGGGTACTGCCCGTGTGTTGTGTGCCTGTTGCTACATGTGCATGATTGTATGTTGCTCTGTGAGGGGGTGGGGGGCAGATAACCCTGCTCCACTGTTTTCTTTAGGCTGGACTCACATCTACATTTGTCCCTAGCTCTGACAGCCCTCAGACAGCACAGGACTCGCCCTGCCCAGTCTGCCCTAAAGCAAGCTGAGTCGGGGCTCTACTGCCTGTCATCTGTGACATGAGCCAGTGCTAGGTGGGGTGCCTCTTGGCACAAAGTGATGATCACCTTCAAGACCATGGGGAGCCCTCCCTGGTCACCCATTCCCAAGAAGGTGGTCCACCTCTGGCTCACCAGTTACCTGGCACATCAGCTCTTGGGCCAAGTGTGTCTGCTGTATACACTGCATGCTCAGAGTTAGCTGTGCAGGTGCCATTAACAGACAGGTGACAGTGGTTCATACATTCACAAAACCATCATCCATGAAACTGAATTAGCACTACTGCAAATTACACCCCACATTCCCATCAAAGTTACCTTTGACCTGCTTCTAACACACACACACACACACACACACACACACACACGGAACTGAGGAACATTGCCACTCACCAAAAACTGAAAATATTATTTTAAGGCCAAAAGATCCCAATGCTGAATAACATAGCAGAAACTCTGCTCTCCAGGGTGCCTTTCCTGCTCCAGTTCCCACTGTTCTTCAGGATCAGAAGCCAGGCCCATGCAGATGTTCAGGAAGGTACTGACTTAGTGCAGACTCCCTTTCTCAGTGTTCACGGGCAGCTGGGAGTACACACAGGAATCTCACATTTCCCTCTTTCCAGGATCCTATCCCCAACCATGCCCGTGTGCTTGAGGGAAAGAACAAAGCATCCAGAATCTCCTGAACTGGGCACCCCACTCAAATCTAGTCCTCACCACACACACCCTTGACCACACACAAGGCATAAGTACCATGAGGGACAGGCAGATAAATGAGAGTTGGTTTCTAACGCACTATCCAACAGAACTTGTTGCAGTGACGGAGAGGTTCTACATCTCTACTGTCCAGTACCGTTGCCCCAGCTACGTGGCTTCCCGGCCTACAGTAAACACTCAGACATAAGGGGTGGTGGTGGCTTTTGTTTTTAAATCTTTCTACTATCTCTGTAACAAAGATCTTAKGATGTGTCTTTAAAGATGAAGAAATAATGTCAAAGTTCAGTGACAGCCCCCAAATCCCACAGCCACAAATGCTAAAGCTATGGTATTCTGGTTTGGATATGAGGGGTCCTCCAAAAGCTTCTGTTAATATAGGAATGGTCAGAGGTCAATGACTGGATACTGAGAGCCGTGACCTAATCGGTCCATCCTACTCTGAATGGGGACTGGATGGTAACTCTAGGATGTGGGGCATGGCTGAAGCAGGTGGGTCACTGGGGCAGTGTCCTGGAAGGGTGTTCTTCCCTGCAGCCCCTCCCACCCTCTCCTCGGCTTCCTGAACACCATGAACTGAACAGCTTTCCTCCACTGAGCCCTTCTCCCATGATGCACTGCCTCATCCTGGGCTCAGGGCAATTGGGTAGGCTGTCTATGGACTGAGACCTCTGAAACTGTGAGCCCCAAATAAACTTTTCCTCCTCCAAGTTGTTCTTGTCAGGTATTTTGGTCACAGCAACACAAAGCTAACTAAAACACACGCTATGCTCAAACCTTGATCT